ATGTAGCCTGGTGCACCCATTATGGAAATAAATATGGAGATTCCTCAAAAGATTGGAAATTCCATTCAATCCAGCTATCCCCCTCCTGGGTACATTCCCCCCAAAATGGAAAAGATTATGTCACAGTGATGTATGTGCACCCATATTTATTTATAGCAGCATAATTTATAATAGCTAAATCTTGGAAACAACCAAAATGCCTATCAACTACAGAATGGATGAAAAAGATGTGGTATTTTTATACCATGGAATATTACTCAGCTATAAAAAGGATGATTTCGAGGCCTTTATAAGTAAATGGAGACAACACTATCCTCATAACTGAAATAAGACCCACATTTTTAAATATCACACTATCTTTCTAGTGTAAAAAAAAACAGTAAAAAACTGAAAGAGTATTAAAGTCCAAAATGTATAACAGAAATTGTGAAAGTGAAAGGGAGGGAAAGTGCTCTAAAGGATATAACTGTATGTAAGTTTAAGTGTGTAAGACAGAAGACCATATTACTAGGTTTTCATTAGATCATTGAACAGAATGGTTTGCATTGTGAATGTCTGAGTATCTGTCCGCCTTTGATTTTGTAACTTCAATAACTATTTCTAAGAGGACAATATATAAGTCATCAACTAGTAATATCTTAGTATTAATATTTCTCTTTGAAACTATGTATTACCTCTACTCTTTTTTGTTTTGTCTTTTTTTTTCTTTAAATAAAAAAAGACAGCAGTCATCTTGAATATCATTTTATATTTACTCTACAGTTTTATAGAAAAACTTTTTTTTTTTTTTGCCTTTTTCCTTTTTATCGGTACCAGGGATTGAACTCACGACTGCCTGCTTGCAAGGCAGGTACTTATGCCGCTGAGCTAAACCCCCAGCCCCTAGGAAAACATTTTTATCTGTTTGTTTGAACAAATTCTAAAAAAACATGTCTTGAGGAATTCTACCACTACTAGCTTCCTTTTGAAGATAAGCAAAAAAGTATCTTATGCCCTTCTTAGAACATATTCCAACCACCAGATAGATCAGTAAAAGTTAAAGGAATATTTACAACATGGGAATTCCTTTGCTACGGCAGTTGGCTGAGACAAAGTTAAGGTTTAAAAAGAAATGTGTACCCCTGGAAACATTAAACATTTTTATGTGAGAATCCTGATATTAAGTGACAGTGAGAACACTTTTAAGGATTACCCACCATATCTGAAACACTTATTGTTTGATATAACATAAAAAGACATTTATAACCTCAGGCTCTGTAATAAATAGGGCAGCATGCAATACATGTTTTGAGATCTTAAGCTATTTTTGCCAATGTCAACCTTTTAAAATTGCCTCTTACTGCCTAAAATTTTTGGATTGCTTTTACACTGAATGATAGCAACTTACATGTAATTTGCTTATAACACCCTAAGCTTTATCCCATTGATGTACTTGATAGGTTAGAGAACTATAGTATTTTAACATTCTGATAAATTATATTTTAGGAAATTGATAAAAATATACAGTGGTTACCCCTTATCCATGGTTTCAATTTCAGTTACTTGGGATCAACTATGGTCCAAAAGTATAAAATGGAAATTTCCAGAAATAAATAAGTTTTGATGTGCATGTTGTTCTAAGCAGTATGATGAAATCTTACACTGGCCCACAGATCTGTTCTGCTCAGCATATGAAACATCCCTTTGTCCACACTCATTCCATTAATTGCTTGGGAGTCATCTAGGTCATCACATTATCTGCTGCAGTGTCACAATGCTTATGTTCACTAGCCCTGACCTTAATATGATCACTAAAGCACAAGGATAACGATGCTGGCAATTTAGAAATGCCAAAGAGAAACTAAGTGAAAATATGAAAGTTCTTAAGGAAAATAAAAGAATCATATGCTGAATTTGTTAATATTTGTAAGTACATATCTTCTACCTGAGAAATTATGGGGAAAGAAAATGAAATATGTGCCAATTTTACTGCCATGCCTCAAACTGCAAAAGTTATGGCCCACTTCTCAGGTATGTGACATACTTTGTCATTTACTTCCTTTGTTCTATCCTGTAGGCATTGTATTATCTCACATTCTCAAAAGAAGGATATGTACAAGGTATTTTGAGATAATTCACATTGACATAACTTTCATTTGAGTACAGTACGATAACTTTTATGTTATTACTGTTTGTTTCCTATGATGTGTTATTTATATGTTTAAAATGACCATAGGGATATATGTGTTATTGTATGGATACGTTTGCTGCACATTTTCATATGTAAAGGTCCTGGTCCCAATGTGGTACTACTGGGTGGTACTGCAGATCTTTAGGAGGTGGGCCTTACAGTCTGATTAAGTCACTGTACCACGTGCATGCAAGGAATTGTGGGACACCCCTTCCCCTTTATCTTCTCTTCTCTTGTTTTCTGGGTATGAGCTAAGCAACTTGGTTCCATTCTTTATCATCTGGCATCCACAGAAGCCCAAAGCAATGAGTCTGTCCTGTCTTGGGCAGGAACTTCCAAAATTGTGAGGCAAAAATTCTTTGTAAGTTAATTTTCTTTTTTTAGGTATTTCGTTATAGGGATGGAAAACTGACAAATACAGTATGTATTGGAAAAAACATGGTACCTGTATGGTCCAAGGAATCCCCTGGGAATCTTGGAATGCACCTCTTGCAGAGAAAGTGGACCTATTGCATTCACCATGTGACACTATACTGTGATATTGTATTGTTCTGGCTGTTTTATGTGATAGTTTTGTTTCCTAACACCGCTACTGGTCTACCACTAACCTCAGCAAACCACTGAGTATGCTCTGATGCTCCTCTGTGTGCTGACTGGACACTGGTGCTCAACCTTATGGTCAATATCTGTAAACAAAGGAACTGAAGACGTTCCTTTAAGCTAATCTCCACTCCATACTTCATGGTAACATGAAGAGAGCATTTCTTTTTGTTAAAAGTTACTCTTTTTCAGACCTGAACTCAGAGAACTCTTCTGCTATAGCTCCTAAACTATCATGGAAATCACTATGCCTGTGTTTTTTCATATTGGCCTCATGAAAAGACTCAGTTTTTGTTTCTGTAAAGCAGTAGTCTTTAAAATCAGAATTACATATAAAATTGCAATCATCAAAGATATAATTATTAACAATCATAAAAAGTAACAGCTTCCAGAAATAGCACTTCTTTACCCACATTTCATTTTAATTCTAATAATCTCATACAGAATAATTAACCCTATTTTACAACTACAATCATCAGAATTTTTACAGAATTTTAAAGTAAGTATTTTCCTTCCTTAGGAAATGCATTATTGGATTACTTTTGTTATCTGTTAGACAAAAATATTCTATATTTCCCAGGAAAAATCAAAAAGTCTTCTTAAAATGTTAAGTGGTATCAAGAGTCCAGTATTTAAGTTAATATAACAGGTACAAAATCCTTTCATGTGTTATAATCAGAATTAAAAACATGCCTCATGGACTCATGTGAAGTCCCTATTTGTACAGCTAAGCAGCTACGCTCCTGATCGTTTCCATCATAACTGCCTAAGAGTTTTGGTTCCTTCATTGAAATAAAGATATTGTCATTTTCATAGCACTATCAGATTTACATGCAAAGAATTCTAATTCTCGTGATCTTAGCAGAAAGAGGTGAAAATGGAATTCCTGGAGTCCTCGTCCCTCTGCCCTCACTCCAAGCGTTCATATAAGGAGGCTAAGGTTGTAAGTGCACACTGACTAGGAGGTTTGATCTCCAGAAAGTGAAATGGGGTTAAGGGAAGCAGATGAGGGGAGAGCAGGAAAAAATTAGACAGGGATGAGATCAGAAGTCCAGGGCAGCACAATGGAGTACAGGGGTATATTTTTGAGGCCCATAAGCAGTAGCGAAATGATGGATTATGGGTCCAGGATCATAGGGAGTTAATGTATATTCTTTTCAAAAATTTATTCTCAACAGATAGTCTAATACAGGAGTCATTAATTAGTTTCAGGTGGGTCTTTACATTTCAATTAATTAAAGTGAAATATATATATATATATATATATATATATATATTTTTTTTTTTTTTTTTACGTTTTTTTAAGACAGGGTCTTGCTATGTGGTTCAGGCTGGTCTTGAATTTATTATATAGTCTAGGCTGGCTTCAAACTTGGTGGATCCTATTGCCTCAGCATTCCAAGTTATGGGATTATAGGTGTGCATCACTATATCCAGCTAAGAAAGTTAAATAAAAATTTCAGTCAGACAGGAACACTAAAACATTCCAAAGGCTCATTAGCTACATGTGGCTAGTGTTGACAGCATTAGAAAGTACAGATGTAAAACATTTCCTTATCATAGCAAATCCTATTGAATAGCATTGTTCTGTAATCCAGATTATGCAGGAAATCAACATTCAAAACTGTTAAAGTTTAACTGTTACTACAGAAATACATATGGCATAGAGTGAATAGAAATATAGCCTGAAGAAATATAGCCTGATAGAAATATAGTCTGCATAGACTTAAGAAATATATTTGACATGGTGCTTAAGAGCATAGCCCGAGGGAACATATATGGCATAGTGCTTGGGAGTAAATTTGTACTCAGATTTCTGGGACTCAAAGCCTGGCTCTAACTTTTGCAAGCTACATGACTCTGGGCCCAGTATTAACTATTTTGTGCCTCAGTTTCCTTGTTTGTAGAACTGGGATACTAATAGTGTAAATTTTACAAGGCTGTTGTCTGGATTAATGTATATGAAGCTTTAACAACATTTTCAAATACATAACATGTGATACTTAAGTGTTAGCTCTTAATGTTACTATTTTCTCATTAAAACATATATGCATGATTTAGTTCCTATCACTAAGGAATACACAAACTGATTCACAGGTCTGATCCTATCTGTCCCTTGCCCCATAGACCACTGTCTGTTCCCTGCCCTATGGATCAACCGTTTGTTTTATGAGTTAAAACACTCTTGTTATCCCAAGTGCGTGAGACCAGAGGTGGTCTTTCTTCTTACTTGTAGGATAGAATGTCAGCAGCCTGGAGTACTGGGTATGTGAGCAGACCCATCATTCCATGATGTTTCTGTTGGGCAGTCTTCACCTGTGGGGAATGAAGAGGGGAAGAAATCTGAGTTGGACCTAATTATATTGTTCAATTAAGAAGCTGTAAAGTAAGTCAAGTGTGATCTGAAGCCACCTGTAATAACATATAACCTCAGTTCCTTTTAGCAACTGTTTTCTGGTAGGCTTGCCTTCATGTTACGTAAGGATAAGGTGACTATTTCACCCCTCTTCATTCATTTATGCATCTATCCATTTATTCATTTAGTTATGCTGGGCCCAGGGCCTTGCTCATGCAACACACACATTCTATCACTGAAAGATATCTCTGGTCACTTGCCCCCTGAAAAGATCCTGAACTGTCACTGTTTCGTATTTATTTTATTAAAGACAAAGCAACTTTTTAGTTTCTAAGTCAGACAAAGTCCATATTTCACAGATAAGGTCAGAAATTATTATGAAAATGACCTTCAAGAAGTTAACATGACTTAGGATCACCCTTATCACAATGCCTATAAAAAAGGCTAGTTCGTCATTTTTAACAAGTAAAGATTATGCAAGTTCATTTGGAGATGAGCAAATGAGCTCTTACCAGATCTACTCCTTGGCATTGGAATCCTGCCCTTAGAGCATCACACTTTATTACTTGTTTAATTGTCTTTGTAAATAGACTATATCTCTGTCATATAAAATGCTATATCTCTAGCACCTACCATGACAAAAGATTTGCAGAAATTACCACCAGAGTTTGTTATTGAAGTTCTGACCACAGACGACACCAGCATGTGCTGACACAAGGCTAGGATTTGAAATTCATGTTTCCTACAGATAAGAAATCACTGACTTGTGCAAGGGATTCTCCAGAAAATCAGCTCATTCACTAGTATTCAGAAGTCCCTTTCAAATCATTTTTAAGGGAGAGCAGTGCCTATTAAATCAACATTCACTTCCTATTATAAAAAGTTTTTAGCATCAAACTCAGTGGTAGATTATGATGATAAAAAGCTAAAGTTTTGCCTAAACCCAAATATGGTAGAGAATGTTATAAAATGCTGTTTTTAATTCCTGGCAGGTAATAAATCTGCAGTACTATCAATACTATTTTATTTAGTATCTTAGTCTGTCTAGGCTTTTATAACAAAATATCATATCATATACTCAGTGGCTTATACACAACAGAAATTCATTTCTCATTGTTCTAGAAGCTGGGAATTCCTAGTTGAAGGCAAAGTTAGGGCCTATCAAGGGCCTATTTCCTAGCTCCTCAACGCTGCTTTCTTTCTGTGTTCTCTCATAATGGAAGAAGAAGAAGAAGAAAAAAAAAAAATCTCTCTGGAGTTTCCTACACTTTTTATGAGAGCTCTACTTTCATGATCATCTCTCAAAGGCTCTACCTTTGGAGAGTAGACTTTAACATGTAAATTTTAGGGGGATACAAATATCCAGACCACATCATTTAGGTATTGTCACTTCAGAGATCTTTTTCTCTTTTTCTTTTTCCCCGTGCAGCATATGTGAAAGCTTCTGAAGACCAACTTCTGAGAAAAGCACTGGCCCTGAAAATATGCTCAAAGGTGCTTGAAACTGAAATTAGTGTTGACATGGTACCATTAATTTATCTAATTGCAAAAATAAATGGATGTAAAGTACTACAAATTATCTAATTTATCTTTCTCAGTTGAACATCTTACAAAAACAGAGCCGTAGTTTTTCTGAGTTTGAAATCTTGCCTACACTAGGTATGTTAAATAAAATATATTTTCTCTTCTCTCCACAATGAAAATGTTTTTGCCTGATTGCCAGTTATTTCAGTGAGGATGAGAAGCAACTTTGGGGCTCACATTCGGACTTTGGGGTTTGAATTTTGTAATTTCAATCAAGAAATTATGGCCTAAGTTAAATATAATGTGGTAAGCACAAAATCATCACCAAGTTGATTGCAAGACAGGTAAGAAAATACAGTTAATAGTATTTGTAAGTTAGAAGGAATGTTGCACTCTTTCATTTTCCACTTAATATCCTGAAGCAGAGAAAGACGCTACACTAGCCATTAGTGGGTAGCAGGTAGGAAAGTAGACTTAGGATTCCCAGAACCTAACAGAATAATAAAAGGAAAGTAGAAAATGGCTTCCTTTCTGTTGATTAATCACTTACCTTCCACTGGTGTAAATGTTGTAATCGAGGCAGTCTGACCATGCAGGTAAGGATCCAACTTAATTGTGTGTGTTCAGAAACCTACAGAAGTAAGATAGAATGTTAACAAAAAGACCAATAATTTCTTGCATATAAGCCAAACTAAAGAGTAATATGTACAATCTTAAGTGTCTGAGACTATTCCAAGTCAAGGTTATTAAAATAAGGACAGGTAAAGGAGATTTAGCAGTGCTTCATGATAGAATTTTAGGTAAAGAAACTGTAAAAGATGACTGATATACGCTCCAATTTTGTGTTAAATTCTCTTTACAATATACCAGGAAAGGACTGACCAAAGTCTGCTATTACAACACCTTACTGAGGGGGTTTGATTGTGTCCTAAGGCATTCAATGCATCTTTAAAAAGTCAAGCTTGCTAAGAAAATGTGTGTGTGTGCACGCGTGTGTGCACATGCGCGTGCACACACACAGAGCAGATTCTTTTTAATCAGCTTTTAAACATATAAAAATAGTAACAATGTCTTACATATAAATGGTGGGATATCACTCACCTTAACAATTGAAGTTTTTAGCTCTAGAGAGATTTGAAAATTAGGAATGAATTTTATCATCCCATCACTCCAAAGGGTATTTTTATAATTTCTAGTTCTTTCTCTTCCTCATCCTCTTTTTCTTCTTTCTTCATTTCCTCTTTTAACTTTTTTAAAATAGAAGAGCTCTAATAGAAAATATAAACTTTTCCCAATTCATTTTTGTTTAAATCAACTTTAGTCAAATAACCAAGCCTGGCAACAACTTGGGTGATTCTTGGGTCTAAGCCATGGTCTGACTGATGACCTACAATTTCAGTTCTATGCATCCCATTTCTGGGTCTTGGGGACTCCTAGCTCTTCATTAACTGTGGCTTTTTTGTGTCCATATGATTTCCTTAAAACCAGAGACTGTTGCCAAGTCTGCAAAGTGGCCCCAAATGTTTTCTTTGTGGATTTTGCAAAAGGAATGAAACTGAATCAGCACTGGCCTATTACACTGCCATCTGGTGTAAGATAGTTTCTTGTTTTTATTCCCCTGAAGTTATAAGGCGGGAAGAGTTGTTTTTCACATGTTTGACAAGGAATCACTTTTAAAGTTTAGCAAGTTGCTAGGCTGAATCTGTCATCTTTCTTCCAAGAGGCATTTGAGCTTCACTGAGGGCAGTAACTCTGACAGCAATGTCCAAGTAAATTGCTAACTGCTGCTGTAAACAAACAACTATCAGACAAAAACAGTAACCCAGGATGTAAGCAAGAGGATTAGAGTTAGTTTCAATCACTGAGAAAAATACATTCCCATAGGAAGTAATCCAACAAACACTACGTTTTGGCATGAAGAAGTATGTAAAGATTTTTTCCCCTCTTTTACAGAGTTGGGGGAAAGGAATGAAAACAGAAAATAACCATGGATATGTGGAAGAGACAAGATGGTTCCTTCCTTACATCTCTGGTTCAAATGCTTAGCTTTGGTGATAGACAAAGAGCTATTACTATGTTTCTGCTAACAAGTATTTTACTGGGAGTGGCCTTTTATTTGGCCATATGGTATGAAACTTACTTAATATTCTGCAGAGATGTTCCTGCTGTTTCCAAAATAGAGAACATCCAATTAGTTCAAGTTATTTTCATACAGGAAAAATAGGTAAAAGTTTAAAGGCAAATAATTTTTCATAATTCATCATTCATGATTATTTAAGAAAAGTAGCATTTCAAAAACTGGTTATCTTTATATTCAAGAAGGCAAAAGCAAAAGTCATAGGTATATAAATATAGTATTTCCTTATGTTATGAAGTCACAAACAAACATAAGATCTGTTTCATCCACAGAAGAACAAAAGGAGTGGACAGCAACCTGGATCACTAATCATCCACAAACAAGTCAGCAGTGATTAGCAGAAAAGAACTGAAGGTTTCTGACCCTCTTGGCTGTAACAAGTGCATTCTTCAGTTATACTACATTTTGCCAGTCTCAGTTATTCCTGTAACAGAGCCTGGCACATTGAATGTGTTCAGTAAATATTTGTTGAATACATTAACTCTATCAAAGCTCACAGAAAGAAAAAGGCCATTAGATTTGGCTCCTGACCTCTTGATCCAGGCAAAAGCAATTTCAAATGAGTAACTGAGATGGAATCTAAATTACCATCAGATTAAGAACAAGACTAGAAGATGCAATACAAAGACAGATGAGCAAAGAACACAGCAGAGTGGTTAAGAGTTCCGTCTTCAGAGTGAAACTACATGGGATGGAACAGCAGTTTTACTATTTATTAGCTGAGAGATTGTGAGTCAGTGACTTAAGCTGTCTGTGTCTCAGTTTTGCAATTAGTAAAGTCAGGTTAACAATACTATCCACTTAGTGTTTACAAGCATACTTAACACATAGTAAACAGCCAATATTATGCTTATTATTACTGCTGTGTAGGTAATTTTTAGAAATACTTTTAACTTCCTATTTTGAGATAATTATAGATTCACATGCAGTTGTAAGAAATAATATTTAGAGTCAACATACCTTTTTCCCACTTTCCCCTAGAGTAACATCTTGAATAAATACATGTTAATATCATAGTCAGGGATGTTGACTGAATTTGATACAATCCATCTACACTATTTAGATTTCACCAGTTTTACATGTATTCACTATGTGGGGGTACTTAGTTTTATGCAATTTTATCATATGTGTAAGACATTTATTTTTTAAGAATAAGGCAACTAGTAGGAGCTTGTATATGTTATCTTTCCATTGCTCGAACACAAGAGTTGACACCATTAAATTAAACAAGGAAAGCCATATGTAGGTTCAGGGGTTTCCGTTCATGGTCAACTAGCTTCAAGGAGCAAACTATGGTAGAAGAGGATGATGGACAAAAGCTGCCCAACTCATGCCATCCAGGAAACAGAGAGAAGAGAAACAGTCAGATAAAGATATATTCTCCATGGACATGCCCACAGTGACCTATTTTCTCCAACTAGACCTTACCTGCTAATTGCTCATTCAACTATCAACTCATCAATGGATTAATCCAGTGATGAATACAACAATGTCAGGATCTAATCACCTTCTGAAAGCCCCACCTCAGAACACACAAGTCTTTTGGGAAGATATTTTGGATCCAAACCATAACACAGCTAGAGAGTAAAAAGCTTGTTTGTTAAGGCTGGCTAGATCTACTGAGTAAAAAGTTTGTTAAGGTTGACTAGATCTTTTGCATTATGTACTAAATAGGAAGCGAGCTGCTGAAGATACAGGAAAGAGGAAAATTTGAAGAACAATAATCCCAAGTCAAATCCAACTCCAGAACCTTTCAACACTGTTAGTAAGGAGAATGGGTTCTCATCACTGATGTAAGACACAGAGAGAGCACAGCTGCATTGTGCTTGAGACTCCCTCACACCATTCTTACGCAACCCACCCCAGCAGATTTCATTTCACCACAGCACTAAAACTGTTCAATTATGATCATTTATGCTCACAGCAGAGGAGAGGCTGTCATCTTCCTTGACATGTTCAGCATCATATGACATAAGTGATTATATCCTTCCACCATGATACATTTTCTTCAGGTGGAACCCCAGACGCTAAATGACTGTAGTTTTTCTCCCTAGTTTATCAGTTTCTTTTTAGTATCCTACTACTGTTTGTACTTTCTCTTGTCCCTGACTTCATCATATTGCCAAAACTCAAATTTTAGTGGTTCTTTACTTAGATTCTTTTTTATACATGCTCTTTTCAATTTTGTGTTAACTCATTGCTTTAAATAAAATCCATAAAACAGATGATTTCAGAATTGATACCCCAGCCAGGCTTCTCTGATGAACTCCAAACATATGCATTGAACTGTGTATTCAGCATGTATGCGGATATCTACTGGACATCTTGAGCTCAACATATCTGCAAACCAAAGATCCTCCATCCCAAAATGTAATAAAGACATATTCTTATTTTTAATGGAGTTTAATTTATAAAGGATTTTGGTAGGGAGCGGCTTCGAATAGCTGCTGCTGCCCTGCCCCTCCTGCCTGAGGGCATTTTGTGTGTCAGCCTACATTTCCCATGATCCTCATGTCCGCCTACATTACCCATAATCCTCTCCTGCTTACGTCATATATCTGGATGTGATGATGACCTATCAGATAACACTCTGTGACCTCTTCCTGCCCTTGGCCCGCCCCCCACCCTATATAAGTTGTAGCCATTTTAAAAATAAACGAGACTCGATTGGAATCGCATCCTGTCTCCATCTCTCTTTTCTCTTGCCCTGCCCCCATCCCCGACCCCCTCTCCAGGTGAGACCCATAGATTGGTCCACAGGTCAGATCAGGTTTTTATGTTTAGCCATTCTGAATCTTGTTAAAAATCTTTAATGATGAAAGGAAACAAAAATACAATGAACTGTTTGACTCAGGGCTCTCGTGCTTGACCTATAGCTCTCCTATCTCTGTGGTTGGAAACTCTGTCCTCACTGTAGCTAGGGAAAAACTTTGTGTCAATCTATGTTTTTCTTTTCTCAAATTCCATATCCAATCTACCTGAAAATACTACTGCCTCAATTAAAAAACACAGTCAGAACCACACCACTTTGCACTACTTCTGCTACAACTGTGACTTGGATATATCAGTACTTTCCTCTGGCATTCTGTAAAGTTTCCTCAGTGGTCTCCTTGTTCTCCACCTCCCTATGGTCTACTAAGAGCAGAGCAAGTAAGGTATCGCAGATTATATCACCTCTTTGTTCAAAATCCTTAACTTACTTTTCATTTCCCTAGAGTACAAGGCCAAGTCCAGTAGTGGCCTATGAAATCAGGCATGAGCATCTCCTCCCATTCAACACTGTTACCTCAGTGACTCAAATTCCACTCTGGAATCTCCTCCTTTGCTCCTGTTCTCCTGTGTCCTGGCCTCAAGTTCTCTGAAAACACTGATGCATTACCATGTCAGAAGCTTTGAAATGGCTCTTTTCTCTGACAGAATTTTCTCCTCAAAGGCACTGACCTGGTTAAATTCCTCACCTTACATCTGATCAAATACTACCTTGTCATGGGGGC